TAGTCTCCAGCTCTGTCTTTATTTAGCCCCAGCCAGTTTCATTTAGCTCCCTGAACCATTTAATAGTTTTTTAAAATATGAAAGCCATATGAAGAATGCATATTGCCAACAGGTGCATGCTCAAAAGCAAATGTTTCTGACGTTGAGTACATATACTGAATCAGGGTGTTCATGACCTTGGCTGTAGACTAAAAATATAACCTGTTGGAAACCTTAGGGATCCTAAATATAACCATTTTGGGATGCCCTACACTGTACTTTCCAATTGCTCTATGGTTTGGATTCAACAGTCAGAGTACTGCTTCTTAGTGAGGCGGTGACAGAATAACTTCACTGAAATTCAATATTGGACAATTAGAGAATCATAAAGACACAGAAATCTGGGTGCTTTGAACAGAGGACTCTGGAACCAAGCTGGTGGTGGCAGTAGTGTAACACAAACTGAAATAGAAAAACAGTGGACAAATTTGGTATGGGGAAAACCTATAGAACACAAGAATAATTGGAACTTAGTTTAACTAGAGGCTGCATAGAGAACTGATATTCAAAAATTGCTCTGTGTTTCTGAATTGGCAAGCAGAGAGCTAAAGTTTGGAACCATTTTGAGTCTGCACTACAGCTTGCTGCTGCAGGAGCCCAGAAGATTATGGCAAATACTGCTATACTTTCCAGGCAGTTGCATATCAGGTGGCCTAGTGCTTACCCAGCAGAACATGGTGGAAACAGGTACTAAGAAAATTGTACCCAGAGGGATTCAGGTCAGAGATATGTAGGGGAGTGCCACTCTCTTTCCCTCTGCAATTTGCAGCTCACATGACCAGCTAAAGAAGGTTCAGAAACTGAAAAGGTGGTTGCAATTACACTTAGAATCTATTCCTGGGAAAGCTAGATTTATGGTGGATTGTGCAAGAATGGTGGAGGGTTAGTTTGTTTTGCCCTATAACTAGAGTTCTTGCAGTGAGGTGAGGCACTGAGGTCCACCAGAGATTGGATCTGTACAGCCCTACTGATATGTTGATCTATTCTCTCTGTAGCAGATACCACCCAACAAAGTTCCAAAGGTCTGACCAGAGCCAAATCCCAGCTGCCAAAGCTTCTCATTTAGAATTCTGTAACAGAGTTCATCAATTTAGTTTCTGGACAAAACTCCAAGTGTCAGTTCTTCCCATTATATCATACCTGTTCTGCTGAAGAGAGAAACGGAGAGCTCTCAACCAGCTTCTGTTACAGGGTACTCCAGGTGGCAGTTCAATGAGCAACACAAAAAGCAGAAGAGTTTCTCATCCCCAGTCCTTGCTCTTTCTAAGGAATAAATAGCCCAAGAAGAAATGAAAAGAAGAACAATCTGTCAAAGGCAATGAATATCCAAAGGTTTTGACTACCTCAGTAGAGACAATATTTTAATATTGCATTAAGAATTGCCTCCTTTTTTTTTTTTGGTGTTCTTGTACTGATTGTTTTGTAGTTATACATGCATAGAACTTGTTTCTTTTTCATTACCTTTATTTTGTTTCTTTTAACTATTTTTTCTCCTCCTTTATAGCTGTCACCTGCTACCTATACTCTTCTATTTGTATTTTGAATATTCTAAACTTTCTTTTGTCTTCCAACTCCTTTTCTTTTCCTTTAGTGAACTATAATTTTATCATCTTTCAGAACTATTCCTGTCCTCAACATTTATGTTGTTGTAGTTATTAGTACTGTGGAAGGCATAGTTGATACCTGCTGTATTATGTATTGTGGGTGTAATAATTAACACCTGCTGTTTACTTCAGTGGATCTAATTCATGGCTATTTATTATTGCTACTGTTAATTTCTGACACTGCCATTTCTCTTTTTTATGGTAATTAGTGTTGTAGATGTGATAGTAGGCACTGGTATTTACTTTACTGTTTTATATTATTCATTTCTCTTGTTTGTTACCTGTTTTCCTGAGAGGTGCTAGGGATTTACTGGGATATATTAGTCAGCTTTTTATTGCTGTGACCAAAATACCTTAAGAAATTTAGAAATTTAAGACCCCTAAAAACATGGGAAAACAGGCAAACAAGCCTCCACCCCAATCCAAATTTACAGTTCTACAAAAAGAATCCACAGATATTGAAGGGAATGAAATTCCAGAGAAAGACTACAAAAATTGATTATTAAAATAATTAATTAACTAAAAGGTGATCTGAGCAATGAATTAAGGGTGAAAATATAGGAGGTAAAATACTATTTCAACATAGATATTCTGAATAGAAATTAATCAGAACTCCTGGATATGAAAGACACAATAAATAAAGTTAAAAAAATCAGTTGAAAGCATTAACAAGAGATTAGATTTTTCAGAAAAGAGAACTGCAGTCCTCAAAGGGTCTATGAACTTGAGCACTCTTTTATTCAGTAAAGAAAAAAATAATAAAAGACTATGATAAGAATGTACAAGAACCATGGGAAAACATTAAGAGACCAACTTTAAGAGTCATTAGGATTGAAGAGGGCATGGAGATACAGAGTCATGGAATTAAGAATCTTTTCAGTGATGTAAAAGACAAATTTCCAAAGCTTAGGAATGAGATGGACATCTACCTACAGGAGTGGAATAGAACCTCACATAGATAAGATCAAAAAAGAACCTCTCTAAGACACATCATAATCAAAATGTCTAAAAGAGAATAAGGATAGAATATTAAAAGCTGCAAGAGAAAAATATCAGGTCACATTTAGAGTAACCAATCAGGTTATATTTAGAATTTCAGTTCAGACTCTGAAATCCAGGAGGGCTATCAATGAGATAATCCAAGCTCTGAAAGAAAACAATTGCCAGCCAAGATTGCTGTATTCCAAAAGCTATCATTTAGAATCAAAGAAGAAATAAATATTTTCCAAGATAAAGATGAATAAAAAGAATTCCTAACCAATAAGCAAGCACTACAGCAAATACTTAAAAGAAACTCCAGAGCTTCAGAAATAATGAAGCTTACTAGAACAATTTAAAAAATGAAAATTGAGATCACATTAAATATATGAAGGAAGTAAAAATGGCAAGTAATAAAACATCTCTTCATAATAACTCTGAATGCAAATGATTTCAATTCTCCAATTAAAAGACATAGAGTGGCAGAGTGATTAAAAACATGACTTGGCTGTGTGTGGTGATACATACTTGTAATCCCAGATACTTAAGAGACTAAGGCATGAGTATTTCAAGTTTGAGGCCAGCTGGTACAACTTAGGAAGACTGTCTTGTAAAATAAGGGCTGAGGATGTAGCTCAGTGGTAGAGCACCCCTGGGTTCAATCCATAGTACCACAAATAAAACAAAACACACATCAAAAACAACAAAAAACCATGACCCAACCCTATGCTGTTTGCAAGAGATTGATAGACAAATAAATTTACAGACTGAAAGTAAACAGGTAGAAAAATATATTTTATGCAAATAGAGTCAGAAAATAAGCAGGAATCACTATTGTTATACCAGATAATGCATGCAGATTTCAAGCAAAAATCAATCAGAAGAGACAAGAAATGTCATAATACTGGTAAAGGGAACAATTCAACAAGAAGATATAATGATAGTAAATATTTATTACCTAAATATTGGTTCACCTCACTACATAAGACAATACTTCTTAATACATACCCTTTTCTCATCCTGCACAAAAATCAATTCGAAGTGTTTCAAGGACCTAGAAGTTAGAGCAAAAACACTGCAACTGCCCATAGAAAATGTAGAGTTAACACTTTAACATATTTCTGCAAGCTGACTTTCTTAATAAGATTCTCAAAGCTCAAGAAGTAAAGTCAAGAATCTATGAGTGGGACAGAATCATATTAAAAAGTGTCTGAGCAGCAAAAGGAACAAGTACGAGCATTAAAAGGATGCCTGAAGAATGGGATAAATCTTTGCTAGATACTCCTTTACAGGGTATTAATATCCAGAACTCAAAAAACTTGACATGTGCACACACACACACACACAAAAAAAAACAACAAAAATGAAACCAAAGCATTTAATAAATGGACAAATGATGTAGACACTTATTTTTCAAAAGAAGAAATACAATTGGCCAATAAATATATGAAAAAAAACAACATCCTTAGCAATCAGGGAAATGTACATCAAAACTATAGAGATTAAATTTCACTCCAGTTACATGGCAAACCTCAAGAATACAGATAACAATAATTGCTGGCAAGATATATAAAGTATAATAATAATAAAAGGGAGATCTGCAGAGTTGAGTAAGTGGGCCAGGAATAAGATAGGGATTGGAAGGGAAAGAATGGTACTGGGGATTGAGATTGATCAAATTATGTGTATGTATGAATATGGCATAGTGAATTATATAATTATAATGCACCAATAAAAAAAATAATAAATAATAAAGAACTTAGTCTCAGGATTTACAGAATTAATTGTTCATCTATTTTAAGGTATTTACTTAAAAGCTCAATGTGGTACATCAAACATTTGTGCTTAAAATGTTTCATAAAGCTAATATGTTGGAAAAAAACTGCAGGCTATTGATTAATGGAAATTGAAAAGAGCAAAATTTTTGTTGTTGCTGAGGATTGAACCCAGGGCCTTGGACATGCTGAGCCGGAATTCTCCACTTAGCCCTAACCAGACAGTAAATTTTTTATGAGGAATCTAATTGTGTACTTTTACGTGGAAGAATTATAGAAGTCATTTAAAAATATTTCTTCATTTTAATATTTAATCATTTAAAGAGGTGAATAATTTTTTTCTGAGCTTTATCAGTAGAGGGCAGCAAAGTTTCAGGTAGTGTTTCAGATTCAAGGGTAGCTTTGCTAAGGAAAATTTTCTTTTTTGTTGCTCTTAAGAAGTTTGTTCTGGCTTAGCTTTTAATGAAGTGTTTTGGTAATATCATATAGGAATTTGCTTAAAAACTCTGTTGCTTTGGTTCAGATATTTATTCAACTCTTCCCTTAGGTGCTATATAGATCCTTTCTTAATGAGAACATGTATTTCTTTCTTTCTGTAATTTAGGGAGTACCAGGGCCTGGAAGATATGACATTAAAAGTCAATTTCAGAAGACTGAAAGTGTGACGCCGAGTGTAAATGATACATCCCCTGCTTTTCTTTCTCAATCCCAGGTAATGGTCTGTAGCCATTTTCATATATAGAGTCTAATAGGCATAATGTGAGGCCAGCAACAAATTCAGTGGTGTTTAAGAAGATTATGAAAGTAAAAGTGGTCTTTAAGCAAATTGGAAGTGGACATGGTCTGGGCAAAACATAATGCCTAAAAACGTGGGTAAAATGAAGTAAAATAAGATTAGAAGGTGAATATTTGAATTAAGCAAATTTGCATATGTAAGCATTCAATTCAGATTATAAGAAAGGTCTATTTTACTCTGAATTTTAAAATGTACTTTGCTGATGAATATGTAACCTATGAGGTCATGCATATTTTTCAGAGTAAGTTCTGTGGAACCTGGCCATAGGTCATATCTACAACTGCCTCTGGGACCTCCTTAATGATGCTGCAGTTATATCATATATTCTGCAGTAACCATTTTATATTCTCCAAGGAATATACTAAGGGATCTTGAAGGTTGATAAGATATTTCTTAGGCAAGACTGTTAAAATACTGGCAACATTTTTAATGTAGCAGCCTCCAGACCAAGGTAATTGTGATACTTATATCTGTGTAGGGTTCTGATTATGTTATTTAACTTGAGAAGGTTATTAACCTTCAGCTGAGTATAGATGACTGCTTTGGTTTTATTTTACTTAAGAGACATCTCTTGGGAGAAAAGTATATGGATTGCAGGTATATTTTGTAGACATAATTAAGATGTCTTTTTAATGGGTTAGATGTTATAGTGTGGGACAGGGAAGAATCAAGAATGAACATTAGGTTTCTGCCTTGAGCAACTTAATGGTACTTAAGGAACTACACGCGATGGGTCTGTGGGGGACAGGGTTTTTTTGTTGTTGTTATTGTTGTTTCTGTGTGTATATGTGTTCTTGATTTTTTAAAAAAATACAGTTTTGTAGCTAGCACTCTGTATTTAAGTTATTTTTGTTTATCACATATATCCCTAATTTTTTATCAATTGGCAACTATCATATTTTAAATATATTTTCAGAAATGGAAAAGAAAAAAAATGATATCAGTATTGTTTAAGAAGATATGTAGAAACAAATAATGGTTAGGTGAAAGATGTGGAGAAGTTAATACCAATCATGACTATCTGATACAGATAACGTTAGTGTTTAATTGAACATGAGCAGCTAAATAATGCCATTAACAATGTAGACTTAGGACACAGAATTTCTGGTTATAGGAATAAAGACAGATATGTTTCTGGGACAATTTAATCATTGATTAAGGAATTTGTTCAATATTTTACATTAATGCATTAAATTACATTGCTTCTTCAAGTATTAAGTTTTCAAACATACTTTTATAACACTGGTTCTCAGCTCTGGATGTGCATTAGAAATACCTGGGGGGATTTTAATACATTCACATGACCAGGTGCTAACCTGCCTTTCTACTCTTTCTCATAGAGAATGATTCAGTTGGTCTAGGATAGGGCCCAGTTACCAATATTTAATGCCTCAAGTGATTCTAGTATGCATCTGGGGTTTGGGATGATAATTTTTAAACATTATATTTTACATATGAATAGTAAGATGGTATTTAGAAAAAATTTAAATAGCTCTTTTTGATACTTACAGTAATAAATTATTTTTGATAATGTTAATATTTACTTGTTTTACAAAGTAAAAAAGAGCACATTTGAAATACTTACCTTTTGTAAGTAAGAAGGAAGAATAGGAAGGCATACTAATAACCACTTTTCTTCATATATATATATATATATATATATATAAAATAAATCAGAAATCATTGACATTGATTACTTATAAGGGGTGGTAAGGAGATAGAGTGGAAACACTGGTGTGCTGTAGCTTACTTGTACTGTTTCAGAAGCCAATTGTTAATTTTCTATGACTTTTGTAAATTGGTTGCTGTTATGTTGGTAGTATGAAATTAGCTATTGCTTTGGGCATATTTACTTCATGGAAATCAGAAAATGTTACAAATTGAGGCACTTTTTTTGTCAGTGGTTCAGCATCCCATGGGACAGAATAGAAATGGAAGAAAGCAATACTTCTTTTTTATATTTTTATCTTTTATGAATATATATTTTGTCTTTTGGAGGCATGTCAATGTTTCATACATTAAAAAATGAAAATGAATCAGTAAGAATAGACAAGGATTAAAAAACCCCTCTGGAACTGAAAGAAAATGGAAGCAAATGAGTGATTGTATTCCAAATGAATTCCTTTAACCAAATTGAAAAAGGGGAGGGTTGGGGGAAGAAGGAATAATCCAGCTATCCACAGTATTTGACTATATCAGTCTTGGATGGGATTGGAGGGATGGGTAGTGAGTTTAGCATTGAAGACAAATTCTGAACTATTTTCAGTAGGTTGGTGTATTGGAATGGTATGGATAAAACAATCATTATAGAGGTAGCACAGTTTTAAGCAAAATAATTGTTATTGTGAACTAGGATTTTTAATGCAGAAAAGGTGTGTACAAATATGGATTGGGGGATGTGGAAAAAGAACCTGTGGCATAGATATGAATGGAAGATTTTGATGTGAATTTATGATTTCTAATATATATGTACATATATATATATGCATGCACTTATATGTGTATGCATGTATCTATGTGTACATGTATATGTAGGTATCTATATTTTTGTAGCTTGGTCTGATAAATGAATCAAGGAACAGAGACACCCCAGTATCAAGGAGAATTTCTAATGCCTGGATCTTGGTCACTAATTATATTCCCCATTAAACAGAACAGGATTCTTCTGAAAAATGACTGATTTTAATGTAGAAAGAAGGTGAATCTGTAATATCTTATTGTATCAGAAAGTGAGTTTTAAGAAACAAATAAAAAATGAGAGTATATCATAGGTACATAGGAACTAACTTGAAACCTTCCTCATCCCCACCACTGTTCCAAAGTTCAGCAATGAGTTATAAATCATTAAAATGGCATCCTTGAGACAATTTGGACAATAAATAGATAAGTAAATAGATTAAATAATGAAAAAATAATTGGAGAAGAAAGCAGATCTCTTGCTTACAGCAGAATACTGAGTGCTTGCTGATAAATGTAGAGGGAATATTGGATTTGATCAAAACTAAAATCAATGGTGAGGATCAGAGACTATCATGTACCTCCAAATATGATACCCTTAGAAAGCCATATCATCTATTTCCTGTTCTTCTCGAGAATACATAATATGGATATAATCATGGGGAACCCTAGGATAAATTCCAAATAAGAAAGGTTTATTGTACCAAAGGGGAACACAATGTTCTCCCAAGATGTTAAAAGTCTCAAAACACAAAGAAAAGCTGTGGAAATATCTTTGTATTAAAAGAGGCTAAAAAGACATGATGTCCAAGAGCAATATCTGATGCCATATGATATCATGTATCTCATGGTAAAAATCAGTATAGTCATTTTAGACCAGTTTGGATTATGAATGGTAGATCATATGTATTATATCATTGATATGTTTACTGAATTTAATAACTGTACTATAATATATAAGGAAACATTCCTATTTTTCATTTATATATATAAAAGTGTTTAGAGGTGAAGGATCAATGCATATATATTTTTCATGTATGTGAGTATACACACATACGTGTGTGTGTATGTGTATATGTATATGTATGTGTGTGTGTGTGTGTGTATATATATATATATATATATATATATATATATATATATATATATATATATATATATATGGAGGGAAGCTGGTAGACAAAAAGAGAGAGGATACGTAAATAAAAAAAAGCAAATGGTGTAACATGTTAGAATTAGGTGAAACTAGGTAAACTTCCTACAGTTATTTTCTGTATTTTTTAATTTTTAAAACCTTTTTGTGAAACTCAAAGTTATTTTAAAATAAAAAGTTAAAAAGTAATATACAATATATTATGAGTTCATAGTTACACACATATGTATATATTTAATGTTAGTAAATTTATTAGTTACGCTGAATTTATAAACCACTTGAATCTAAGATTTTATTTTTCTTAAGATGCTTAATAATATTGTTGTGTTAATTGAATATGTGTGTTGAGAAACATTGCTAATATAGTGTAATTTGTTTACTTAAAGCAATCATATTAGATCATATAGTTTTTATTTATGATCTTAATTTTCAGAATATTTTAAATGTTGAAATTGTTCATATGCTATCATTTAGAATATCATATTGAGATTATTCCTTTCTAGAAGTTTATATGCCTTGGTAAGGCATTTAATATATTACTATATTAGTATATAGGAATTTGATTAAAAGCTATATATTTTGTTTTGATGTGTGTAAGATCTTAATTCATCTACATTTTCTTCACTCCATTAAGAAATAAATTAAACTCTGATGTTATATACTCAGTAGCTTAGCTTTTAACTTGTGAAGTATCAAAATGTTCTATAGTTTCTCAATGGCATGTTTTCCTGTTCTTCACTAGAGATTTGTACCTGTTAAATCAATCACCCCAGCTCCTGGCACATATAATGAAATTAGAACAGCTCTCAAGTACTCAAAGAAAACATCAGTACAGAAACACACCCCATTTGGTCAAAGAGCTGCCCGATTCATAGAGGACTGCAAGGCAGCGGAAATGCCAGGTTAGTAATTAATCCAAATATTTCTACTCTTTACTTTTATGTAGCTTAATATTCTTAACAAGATGGAAGCACCAGAGAGTACGATTGATGGTTATCATTTTAAGTTAACATTTTTTTAAGCATCAACTATGCACTAAACACATATAAGTCAAAATAAAGTACAGTTTTATTTAGATTTCACTTTTAATATGTCGCACACCTTAATTGTAATTTGAAACTGTTTTTCTTTACTCAGTAAATCTCCTAATTTCCTCTTGGTAGATTAATAGATATAGATATAATTCATAATATTCATTTTTGTTAAAACATTTGTTTATATCAAATCACATTTTCTGATATTTTTTTATTGATTTTTAAAAAATAAACAGTTGGGCTGGGGATGTGGCTCAAGTGGTAGCGCGCTCACCTGGCATGCGTGTGGCCCGGGTTCGATCCTCAGCACCACATACAAAGAAAGATGTTGTGTCTGCCGAAAACTAAAACATAAATAAAAAAAATTCTCTCTCTCTCTTAAAAAAAAATAAATGACAGTGGAATGCATTACAATTCTTGTTACACATAATGAGCACAATTTTTCATATCTCTGGTTGTATACAAAGTATGTTCATCATACATGTACTTTGGATAATGGTGTTCATCACATTCCACCATCCTTGCTAACCCCCGGCCCCCTCCCTTCCCCTCCCAACCCTTTACCCTATGTAGAGTTCATCTATTCCTCCCATGCTCACCCTCCCTACTCGACTATAAGTCAGTCACCTTATATAAGAGAAAACATTCGGCATTTGTTTTTTTCTGGAATTGGCTAACTTTACATAGCATTATCTTCTTTAATGCCAACCTTTACCTGAAAATGCCATGATTTTATTCTCTTTTATTACTGAGTAATATTTTATTGTGTATATATGCCACATTTTTTTATCCATTCATCTATTGAAGGGCATCTAGATTGGTTCCACAGTTTAGCTGTTGTGAATTTTGCTGCTATAAACATTGATGTGGCTGTGTCCCTGTAGTATGCTGTTTTTTAAGTCCTTTGGGTATAGACCAAGGAGAGGGATAGCTGGGTAAAATGGTGGTTTTATTACCAGATTTCCAAGGAATCTCCATATTTCTTTCCATATTGGCTGCACCAATTTGCAGTCCCACCAGCAGTGTATGAATGTACCTTATTCCCCACATCCTCTCCAACACTTATTGTTGTTTGTCTTCATAATAGCTGCCATTCTGACTGGAGTGAGATAATATCTTAGAGTAATTTTGATTTGCATTTCTTTAATTGCTAGAGATGATGAACATTTTTTCATATATTTTTTGATTGAATGTATATCATCTTCTGGGAAGTCTCTGTTCAGGTCTTGTCTCATTTATTGATTCTATTATTTGTTTTGTTGGTGTTTGGCTTTAAATTCATATGGAAAAATAAGAGACCCAGAATAGCTAAAGCAATCCTTAGCAGGAAGAGTGAAGCAGGTGGCATCACTATACCAGACCTTAAACTATACTAAAAAGCAATAGTAACAAAAACAGCATGGTATTGGCACCAAAACAGAGTATTAGACCAATGGTACAGAATAGAGGACACCAGAGACTAACCCACAAAATTACAATTATCTTATATTAGACAAAGGAGCCAAAAACATGCATTGGAGAAAAGATAGCCTCTTCAACAAATGGTGCTGGGAAAACTGAAAATCCATATGCAACAAAATGAAATTAAACCCCTATCTCTCACCATGCACAAAACTCAACTCAAAGTGGATCAATGACCTAGGAATTAAACCAGAGACTCTGAGTCTAATAGAATAAAAAGTAGGTCCTTATCTTCATCATGTGGGATTAGGCCCCAACTTCTTTAGTAAGACACCTCTAGTGCAAGACTTAAAACCAAGAATCAATAAATGGGTGGGATCAAACTAAAAAGTTTCTTCTCAGCAAAAGAAAGAATCATATAGAGAGCCTACATTTTGGGAGCAAATTTTTACCCCTCACACACATCAGATAGAGCACATTTTCTGATATTTTCAATGGTTATTCTAGTATCTAGAGCTAAGAATATAGAACTAACATAACATATACTATTTTTATCCTATAGTTCTAATTATCTACTGCTGTATTAAAGAATGGCTTAAAAATAAATCATTTGTATTATATCTCATTTTTTGAGAAGACAAGAATGCAGGGCTCCAGTGGGACTGTCATAGCTTCATCATGTCTGACTTTTAAATGGTGTCATGGCCCCACAATACATGGCTAGAGCCAGGCATTGTGGCACATGCCTATAATCCCAGTGATTCAGGAGGATGAGGCTGGAGGATGACAACTTTGGGGCTATCCTTAGCAACTTGGTCACTAAATAGCTTAGTAAGATCCTGTCTCAAAATATATATATATATATATATATATATATATATATATATATATATATATGCCTGAGGATATAGCTCAGGCATAAAGTACCCCCTAAGTTCACCTGAGTGAATCCCCCTCCCCCAAAAAAAGCCTTGGCTAGATGCTGCAAGGCTTTTATTGACTCAACCATAGCACACCCATGATATCCCCTCTTCTGCATTCTATTAGTCAATGAGATCACTCAGTGCAGCACATACTAAAGGCAAAGATGTGAAACTTTATCTCTCAGTGATAGGAGTAGCAAACAAATTATAGCTATATTTAATCTACTATATAGTCTACTCTCTGACCACAAAGTATGTGAATTCTTCCTATATGCGTCCATCCCTTCTTCTCAAGGACTCTAAAGCCCTATGCGATTATGGCCTGATCTTGGATTCTGGGATCTTGTCATCTAAATCAGGTGTAGCTGAGGATCTTAATTATAGCTTAGTATGCCTCATTTTGAGTATGACTCCTCTCTGTCAGAAGAGTTATAAAACAAGAAATGTGTTGTTTCATCTAACATACAAGGGTGAGGGAGAGAGAGAGAGAGAGAGAGAGAGAGAGAGAGAGAGAGAGAGAGAGAGAAATTGTTCTAGATACACCTATGTAAAAAGGAGAAAACTGTAAGTCCACAGCAGTCACATCACAATTCTGAAATACAACCAGATACAGATTGCTATTTTCTTCATTTGAGCTGAGGTAGACCAGAGAGGAATAGTTTTCCATGGTTTCTAGTTTTACCTTTTGGGCTCTTGTTTGTATCCCCTAATTCATCCTTCATTTCTATGAGAAATAGGCTGTATTCACAGCTAGAACTTTCTCAGTCTTCTTCCTACCTGTAGATGAATAAGCTACTTTACATTTTGTCCAGTTAATATATCTTTCTTAAACCTGGTTGAATTGCTTATAAAAATTTTGTGAGTTTTTTATTGTATTAAATTATAATAAAATCTATTAGACAAAGTCACACATATATTTTATTGTAAAAGTCTTTTTCTACTTTGAGGCAGCTTGTTTGAACATCCTTAAATTCTTAGAAGCTCTATTGTCATAGTCAAGTGGGCCTAAGATTCGCATAAGCTCTTTTATTTAGTTGAATGATTCTATAAAGCACCACCCTAAATCTTTCTGAAACTGTAACAAAGAGTTTTATAGACACATCCTGCTTTTGGTCTTTTCCCTCAAACTACTTGTTCCTTTAAGAGATTTTTGTTGTCTAGAGAGGCTAGGAATGAAAAACATTATTTTAAAATTCAGAAAATCCTTATTTCTTTTTATTTTCTATAAATTCTTCTTGAAAAGTAAAAAGTTAAAGTGTTTAACTTTAAATTCAATTTGTTCTATCCATGTCTTCTCATATGTGGATAAAAGCAACTACTGACATATTTACATTCAGCCTGGAAATTTTTCTAGTTAGAATTTACTTGTTCATTAGGTATTTTCTTTATTATATCAAGTATGAGTTTTGCTAAATTTCTACTTTTATATGAGCAATTTTTTTCTCCAGCCTCCCATAACATTTTTGTCAAGTCATCAACATCAGTATCCTCAAGGCCATTTTGAGAAGTCTTGAGGTTGCTCTGGCTTTGCATCCATTGTCAGGTTGTAAAGTCATTGCTACTATTATTTTTGGCTTTGTTATGGCATTACTCCATTTCTTGTTTAACTATTTGTTATTCATTTCATTGAGAAGTTGAATCTCACTCTTCTCCCTTTCAATCCTGGCTAGCCTTGGTGACTTTCTTGACCAGTGCAAAGTGATATATATATATATATATATATATATATATATATATATATATATATATATATATATATATATCAGTGGAAGTGATATTCTAAATTTCCTGCAATTCTGATCAAAATCCCAATGGAATTCCTCATAGAAATAGAAAAAGCAATCATGAAATTCATCTGGAAAAATAAAAGACCCAGAATAGCCAAAGCAATCCTTAGCAAGAAGAGTGAAATAGGAGGCATCAGAATACCAGACCTTAAACTATACTACAGAGCAATAGTAACAAAAATGTCATGGTATTGGCACCAAAATAGAAATGTCGACCAGTGATACAGAATTGAAGACACAGAGATAAACCCACATAAATAGAGTTATCTCACACTAGACAAAGGCGCCAAAAACACATATTGGAGAAAAGATAGCCTCTTCACCGATTGGTGCTGGGAAAACTGGAAATCCATATGCAACAAAATGAAATTAAACTCCTGTCTCTGACCATGCGCAGAACTCAACTCAAAGTGGATCAAGGATCTAGGAATTAGAAGAGACCCTGCACCTAATATAAGAAAAAGTAGGACCAAATCTATATCATGGTGGATTAGGTCCTGACTTCCTCAACCAAACTCTTAAAGCTAGTGAAATAAAATCAAGAATTAACATATGGGATGGATTCAAACTAAAAAGCTTCTTCTCAGCAAAGGAAACAATCAATAATGTGAAGAGAGAGCCCACAAGTGGGAGAACATCTTCATTTCATGCACATCAGATAGAGCACTAATTTCCAGGATATATAAAGAACTCAAAAAGCTAACAGCAAAAAAAATAAATAACCCAATCAATAAATGGGCTAAGGAACTGAACAGACACTTCCCAGAAGAAGATATACAATTCAGTCATCAAATATATGAAAAAATGTTCAACATCTCTAGCAATTAGAGAAATGCAAATCAAAACTAAGATTTCACCTCACTCTAGTCAGAATAGCAGTTATCAAGAATACAAGCAATAATAAGTATTGGCGATGATGTGGGGAAAAGGGTAAACTCATGCATTGCTGGTGGGATTGTAAATTGGTGCAACCACTATGGAAAGCAGTATGGAGATTCCTTAGAAAACTTGGAATGGAATGAGTATTTAAACAGCTATCCCACTTCTCCATCTATACCCAAAGGAGTTAAAATCATCATAGTATAGTTAGTTACTCAGCCACATCAGTGTTCATAGCAGCTCAATTCATAATAGCTAAATTGTGGCACCAACCTAGATGCCCTTAAACAGATGAATGGATAAAGAAACTGTGGTATATGTACACAATGGAATATCACTCAGCATTAAAATAGAATAAAATTATGGCATTTGCAGGTAAAGGGATGGAGTTGGAGAATATTGTGCTAAGTGAATTTACTCAATGCCAAAATACAAAGGTTGAATGTTCTCTCTGATAAGTGGATGCTGATCCATAATGATGGGGTATTGTGGGGAGATTTAAGGAATTTGATTGCAAAGGGGAGGGGACATAGGTGGGTAGGAAAAATGATGGAATGAGATGGGCGTCATTACCCTAGGAACAGATGGTGCGATTCTACATCATGTACAATCAGAGAATGAAAAGTTGTGCTCCATTTGTGTATAATGAGTCGAAATGCATTCTGCTGTCATGTATAACTAATTAAAAACAAATAAAAAATGATCATATGGAAATTTGGCTTCTTTCAATGTAGCTATTAGAGTACAGTAATGCATTAGACCTGTCAAGAAGTTATGGGGCAAATTTGACTACTTATTAGATAGCTGCAATTTACTGCTAGAAGTCCTCCCCTAAACTTTCTAACTCTCCATTAGCAGATCTGATCAAGGATTCCTGGGCATTTCCTTACTTAATGATTAGAAAATGAATATGTAAAACTTTGATTTGAGTGAATCATATAATCATAATGACTTTTTATGCCTGAAGCTTAAAAATATAGTACCTGTGATGTATAGGCCATGGATATCCTGAGTCCTGAGGTCAGGCTATGGTTAATTACTTAAGCTTACCTACAGAATGTTATGTTGTGCTCTTGCACCAGAGTGATTATAGATCTGACATACTTTTCTTTTATGTACCTTAAATGGTTGTACAAATATTTTTTATTATACTTTGTTTTTATCTTCCTAAACATTAATAGTAGAAGAAATATTGGAAGACACCAAGAATAATATAATTAGCACTTAGGTTTTCTAAGAATTGATACAACAGAATTTTGGTAGGGACATTTGGTGTATAGATTTTGAAATTGGAATATTTTTAAAATTGGGGAGTTTGCTGCTTCAGACAAACTTGAATGTATCAAGAATATGAAGGATTTGCTTATATGGGATGATTTGATCACTTTAACATCTAGAATTAACCAAAGGATCATTTAGCAACTCAAAGACTCCTTTGTCTATTGTTTGTTTCTTGCCCATGATAAGAAAAGAGATTACACAGAGTATATAGCAATGCAATGATTTCTTCATCAAGGAGTTGTTGCAGAGTGCTTGGTGAAATGGTAAATTTGCAATTAGTTGTAAACTCTTTATCTTGTAGATTCATTTTGGAGAGTCAGTAGTCCACAGATCAGATTTTGAACAGTTTGATTTAGTCAATCCCTATTATTTCTAGATGATGAACTTGAAGCCCAGAAAAATAAGATTTAAGTGTGGTCTCATACCTGTCAATTTGCAGAGCTAATTTAGTAAAATCAACATGAGTACAACCAAGTTTAGTGTTGACTTTCAAGTATATCATATTTTATATAGTAGATATTACTGCTCACAGCAATAACTTTTTTTTAAAAAAAGGGAGGAAGGGGCAAGGGGGTGCATAGGGTTAGTGAGAAATGATGGTGGAATGTGGTGGATATTATTATCCAAAGTGCATGTATAAAGACATGAATGGTGTGACTGTACTTTGTGAAGACAAGAGACATGAAAAAAATGTGCTCTATATGTGTGTTATAAATTGAAATTCATTCTGCTGTCATGTATAATAAATTAAAATGAATAAAATAAAAACAAGAAAAATTGAATTATAAAGAACAAACTCAAATATTTGCTTAAAATATTTGTATTAATAAATTTTTTTGATAGCAAAGAATGTTGTTTGTATTTTTTGAATGAAAAATATTATGAATCTTTATTCATACTGTCACTGTAGAAAATATTACAGTTTATAATTATGTGCTCAAAGGTAAAGGGCAAAAATTAAAATAACTGCCATGATAAGGAGATCAGACGATAATGATTTTAATTTTTATTGTTTTCATGAAATTCAATTTACTTGCTATGTCAACCTTTGAACACTTTTCAGCTTTGAGATTTTTTTCCTTTTTTTCTGTTCTATTAAAGTATAATTTTCACAAAATAATGACTATTCATTTTGACAGTACAGTTTGATAATTTTTTAGTAAATGTATGTAGTCAACTGTCATCCAAAGAGACTCAAATGCTATGTTAAGCAAAAAGACATTTATATGGAATCTTAAATAGAAATTCATGGAATATAGATTCTAGTAAAGACCAGGGTGTGTTTCATTAGGTATAGTGTTAGAGGATTTTTTTGAAGATAAAGAGATATTTTAAGTGAGTGACTTAAGTTGCTTGTCAGGAATTTATGACTGGGATAAATTTACTTCTATTGCTCATTGTTCTAGCACAGAGCAGCTCAGAGGATATCATTGTTATTGGGGAAAAGTTCATTTTATACAATTATTAGGATCTTCCTTTTCAGCAAATAATTTTCTTTTGGTATGTTCAACAAGTTGACAAAGTAGTTGGCATAGCATTATGAGGTGTATGGTCACAAAAATGGAGTCATAGGTGTCAACTTTCTTTCAGACAGGCAATAACCATTAAAGTCAAGTTTTCAGAACATTTCCATAATTTCTAAAAAGTTCCCTCATGCTTCTTTGTATGATTTCTACCCTTACTCCTGACCTCAGGCAACTGTTTCTGATTCTGTGAATTTTGTTTTTATAAAATTTTATATAAGTGGAATAATGTATTATTCAGGAGTTTGTGACTGCCTTCTTTTACTTGGCATCAAATGTTTTTGAGATTCATTCCCATCATTGCATTTATCTTTTATTTTTTATTGCTGAGCTATATTTCATTATTTGAGTATAGTATTCCTATTCCATTGTTTTCTTTACCTGTTCATCAGCTGATGGACATTAGGTTGTTTTATTTTTGGAAATGCCTAGGAGTAAAATTTCTGGGTCATATGGTAAGAATATTTTTAATTTTATATGAACTTGACAAATATTTTAAAAGGGTTTATACCATTTTTGCATACCAATCAAAATACGAGAGCTTTTTCTAAAAAAAAGTTTCTTAATTTATTCAATTTGAAAAAGTAATTATCTGTATATTTATTCTTATGTATAATATTCTTTATAATTTTAGGTCCTGGGTTTTATAATATCCGAAACAAAACTGTAATCACCAATGTCAGCTTAGAGAAAAAAAAGAAAAGTGCATTTGGTTCTTCTGTCCCTAGAACCTCGTTACTGGTTCAGGAAAATGCTTGCACTACTCCTGGGCCTTCTCATTACCAGGTAACATGTTAATACAAAAATAATATTTTTATATCTAATGTCAAGCCCTTAGTGGTCTCTTAAAATCATGTCTGATAATAGAACTTGTAGATAGGACATTAATTATTATGACTATATTCCATATTTTAAGTAAAGATTGAGCACATTTTAGGAAAATGGCAGAAATAAGAAGATACAAATTTAGATGTATCTAGAGATGACAAATGTAACATTTGAAAAAATGTGCACTGGAGATTTATTTTCTATGTAAACATCACACCCAAAAATTTGTTTTCTATAAAAATATCTATTTTTATTTTTTTATAAGACTCAGTTCTATTTTATTTATTTATTTATTTATTTTTATTGGTTGTTCAAAACATTACAAATCTCATGACATATCATCTTTCATGCATTTGATTCAAGTGGGTTATGAACTCCCATTTTTACCCCAAATACAAGTTGCAGAATCACATCGGTTACACATCCACATTTTTACATAATGCCATATTAGTGACTGTTGTATTCTGCTACCTTTCCTATCCCCTACTATCCCCCCTCCCCTTCCCTCTCATCTTCCCTCTCTACCCCATCTGCTGTTATTCAATTCTCTCCCTTGTTTTCTTTTCCCCTTTCCCCTTACAAACTCTTATATGTAATTTTGTGTAACAATGAGGATCTCCTTCCATTTCCATACAGTTTCCCTTCTCTCTCCCTTTCTCTCCCCCCACTCGTCTCTGTTTAATGTTAATCTTTTCCTCATGCTCTTCCTCCCTGTTCTGTTCTTGGTTGCTCTCTTTATATCAAAGAAGACATTTGGCATTTGTTTTTTAAGGATTGGCTAGCTTCACTTAGCATAATCTGCTCTAATGCCATCCATTTCCCTGCAAATTCCATGATTTTGTCATTTTTTAGTGCTGCGTAATACTCCATTGTGTATAAATGCCACATTTTTTTATCCATTCATCTATTGAAGGGCATCTAGGTTGATTCCAGAGTCTAGCTATTGTGAATTGTGCTGCTATGATCATTGATGTGGCAGTATCCCTATAGTATGCTCTTTTAAGGTCCTCAGGGAATAGACCGAGAAGGGCGATAGCTGGGTCAAATGGTGGTTCCATTCCCAGCTTTCCCAGGAATCTCCATACTGCTTTCCAAATTGGCTGCACCAATTTGCAGTCCCACTAGCAATGTACAAGTGTACCCTTTTCCCCACATCCTCACCAGCACTTATTGTTGTTTGACTTCATAATGGCTGCCAATCTCACTGGAGTGAGATGGTATCTTAGGGTGGTTTTGATTTGCATTTCTCTGACTGCTAGAGATGGTGAGCATTTTTTCATGTACTTGTTGATTGATTGTATGTCCTCCTCTGAGAAGTGTCTGTTCAGGTCCTTGGCCATTTGTTGATAGGGTTATTTGTTATCTTATTGTTTAATTTTTTGAGTTCTTTGTATATTCTGGATATTAGGGCTCTATCTGAAGTGTGAGGAGTAAAAATTTGTTCCCAGGATGTAGGTTCCCTATTTACCTCTCTTATTGTTTCTCTTGCTGAGAAAAAACTTTTTAGTTTAAGTAAGTCCCATTTGTTTATTCTTGTATTTAACTCTTGGGCTATGGGCGTCATATTAAGGAATTTGGAGCCCGACCCCACAATATGTAGATCGGAGCCAACTTTTTCTTCTATCAGGCTTAGAGTCTCTGATTTGATATCAAGCTCTTTGATCCATTTTGAATTAACTTTTGTGCATGGCGAGAGAAAGGGGTTCAGCTTCATTTTGTTGCATATGGATTTCCAGTTTTCCCAGCACCATTTGTTGAAGATGCTATCCTTTCTCCATTGCATGCTTTTAGCCCCTTTATCAAATATAAGAAAGTTGTAATTTTGTGGATTGGTCTCTGTGTCCTCTATTCTGTACCATTGGTCCACCTGCCTGTTTTGGTACCAGTACCATGCTGTTTTTGTTACTATTGCTCTGTAGTACAGTTTGAAATCTGGTATCGCTATACCTCCAGATTCACACTTCCTGCTTAGAATTGCTTTTGCTATTCTGGGTCTTTTGTTTTTCCATATGAATTTCATGATAGCTTTATCTATTTCTACAAGAAATGCCTTTGGGATTTTGATTGGCATTGCGTTGAACCTGTAGAGAACTTTGGGTAATATCGCCATTTTGATGATGTTGGTTCTACCTATCCATGAACAGGGTACATTTTTCCATCTTCTAAGATCTTCTTCTATCTCTCTCTTTAGGGTTCTGTAGTTTTCATTGTATAAATCTTTCACCTCTTTTGTTAGGTTGATTCCCAAGTATTTTATTTTTTTTGAGGATATTGTGAATGGGGTGGTTTTCCTCATTTCCATTTCAGAAGTTTTGTTGCTGATATACAGGAATGCCTTTGATTTATGCGTGTTGATTTTATATCCTGCCACTTTGCTGAATTCATTTATTAGCTCTGATAGTTTCTTTGTAGAGCCTTTTGGGTCTGCTAGGTATAGAATCATGTCATCGGCAAATAGTGATATTTTAAGTTCTTCTTTTCCTATTTTTATGCCTTTAATTTCTTTTGTCTGTCTAATTGCCCTGGGTAGTATTTCAAGGACTAAATTAAATAGAAGTGGTGAGAGAGGGCATCCCTGTCTTGTTCCAGATTTTAGCGGGAATGCCTTCAGTTTTTCTCCGTTTAGAATGATGCTAGCCTGAGGCTTAGCATATATAGCTTTTACAATGTTGAGGTAAGTTCCTGTTATCCCTAGTTTTTCTAGTGTTTTGAACATAAAGGGATGCTGTACTTTGTCGAATGCTTTTTCTGTATCTATCAAGACGATCATGTGGTTCTTATCTTTAAGTCTATTGATGTGGTGAATAACATTTATTGATTTCCGTATATTGAACCAACCTTACATCCCAGGGATGAATCCTACTTGATCATGGTGCACAATTTTTTTGATATGCTTTTGTATTCGATTCGCCAGGATTTTATTGAGAATTTTTGCATCTATGTTCATTAGAGATATTGGTCTGTAGTTTTCTTTCTTTGAAGTTTCTTTGTCTGGTTTCGGGATCAGGGTAATGTTGGCCTCATAGAATGAATTTGGAAGAGCTCCTTATTTTTCTATTTCTTGAAATAGCTTGAAAAGTGTTGGTATTAATTCTTCTTTGAAGGTTTTGTAAAACTCCGATGTACACCCATCCGGTCCAGGGCTTTTCTTGGTTGGTAGTCTTTTGATGGCTTCTTCTATTTCTTCCTTTGTTATTGGTCTGTTTAAATTGTGTGTGTCTTCCTGACTAAATCTGGGCAGATCATATGACTTAAGAAATTTATCGATATCTTCACTGTCTTCTATTTTATTAGAATATAGGGTTTCAAAGTACTTTCTAATTATCTTCTGTATTTCTGTAGTGTCTGTTGTGATATTGCCTTTTTCATCCCGTATGTTAGTAATTTGAGTTTTCTCTCTTCTTCTCTTCGCTAGCATGGCTAAGGGTCTGTCGATCTTATTTATTTTTTCAAAGAACCAACTTTTAGTTTTATCAATTTTTTCAATGTTTTTTTTTGTTTCAATTTCATTGATTTCTGCTCTGATTTTAATTATTTCTTGTCTTCTGCTATATTTGCTGTTGCTTCCTTTTCTAGGGTTTTGAGATGTAGTGTGAGTTCATTTATTTGTTGGTTTTTTCTTTTTTTGAGGAATGAACTCCAGGAAATGTCAATTCTCTATATTTTGTTTTCTGCAGAATTTTTTTTTTTTATTGTTGTTCAGAACTACCTTTTCAAGGATGATTATATACCAAATATCTTTCAAGGATCTATTATCTTTCTCCCAAGCAAAGAATATTGTTCTTACCCATTATAAAAGATATTTTTTGTAGTGCTTGGTGGGGATTGAACTGAGGGCCTTGTTCATGTGAGGCAAGCACTCTACCAACTGAGTCATATCCCTTGCCCCATAGGTATCCATTTTTTACCATCTATCTTGCCTTCATTAGGGTTTGAGGGTAAGGAGGACTGACTAAGTGTTTGTTTGTTTGTTTGTTTGTTTATTTATTTATTTATTTATTTAATGTGGTGCTGAGTATTGAGCCCAGGGCCTAATGCATGTGAGGCAAGTGCTCTACCACTGAGCTACAACCCCAGCCCTCATTTATTCTTCTTTTTTTTTTTTAATTTTTTTTAGTTGTAGTTGGACACAATACCTTTATTCCATTCATTTATTTTTATGTGGTGCTGAGGATCAAACTCAGGGTCCTGCGCATGCTAGGCAAGCCCTCTACCACTGAGCCACAATCCCAGCCCACATTTATTATTTTTTTAATATTATGTTTTAAATGTCTGTATTAGTGCTTTATAATTGTACAGAATCGTGAGGTTCTTTGTGATATAATCATATATGCATACAACATAATTTGCTCTATTTCAGTCCCTATTACTACTTCTTTCCCTTTCTTCTTCCCTCCTCTCATTCCTAGTATTCTACTGATATTCCTTCTATAGGTTATTTTTTAAATTGGTGCTTTATAGATTTACATAAAGGTGAAATTCACCATGGTACATTCAAATATGTATCTAGCATAATTTGGTCAATTTCATTCTGCATTTCCTCCCTTTTCCTCTCTCTCCTCACTCTTCTCAATCCCCTTATATTTCACTAATCTTCCTTCTATTTTCATAAGTTCATCCCCTTTTCTCCCCCCCCCTTATTTTGCTGTAGCTTCTGCATATGAGAGAAGACATTCAACTCTTGACAAAACTGAGTCTGTCTTATTTCACTTGACATGATGTTCTCCAGTTCCATAAATTTATCAGCAAATGCCATAATTTTATTCTTCTTTATGGCTGAGTAAAACTCTTTGTATATACATACCACATTTTCTTTATCTATTCATCTGTTTACAGGTACCTAAATTGGTTCCATATTGTGGCTACTGTGAATTGTGCTGCTACAAAATTTGATGTGCTTATATCACTATAATTTTCTGATGTTAGGAACTAAATACCAAGGAGTGTGATAACTGGGTCATATGGGAATTGTCTTCCTAGTCTTTTGAGGAATTTTCATACTGCTTTCCAAAGTTGTTGTACTAATTTACAGTCCTACCACCAATGTGTGAGTGGACCCTTTCCTCCGTTTCCTCACCCATTTATTATTATTTGTATTCCTGATAATTGCCATTCTGAGTGGAGTAAGATGAAATTTCAGTATAGTTTTGATTTGTAGTTCCCTGATTTCTAGGGATATTAAACATTTTTTCATATATTTATTGGCCATTGTATTTCATCTTTTGAGAAATGACTATTTAGTTCTTTTGCCCATTTATTGATTGGGTTATTTGAATTTTTGATGTTAAGTTGTTTGAATCCTTTGTATATTCTAGCCATCAATCCAGTGTCAGAGGGCAGCTGGCAAAGATTTTCTTTCGTTCTGTAGGCTCTCTTTATGTTTCCTTTGCTGTGCAGAAGTTTTTAATTTGATGCTGTGCCATTCATTGATTCTTGGTTTTATTTTTTTAGCACTAGGGATCTGGTTAAGAAAGTCAGTTCCAATGCCAATATGTTGTAATGTTGAGCCTATGTTTCCTTCCAACATCTGCTAAGTTTCTGGTCTAAATACTAGGTTTTTGATCCACTTTGACTTGACTTTTGTGCAAGGCCAAAGACAGGGATCTAGCTTCATTCTTCTACATATGGATTTGTACTTTCCTAATACCATTTGTTAAAAAGTATATCTTCTGTAATGTATGTTTTTCCACCCTTTTCGAGTATCAGATGACTGCCTGTATATAAACGGGTTTCTTTCTGTGTCTTTTGTTCTGTTTCACTGGTCTTTATGTCTATTTCAGTGCCATTACCATGCTGCTTTTTGTTACTGTAGCTCTGTTGTATTTGGCATTCAGTATTGTGATGCCTATTTTTATTGAAGTACCTATGGTTGTAACTCAGACTCTGGTAGATTACAGAAAATTTGACAAACTCTATAGTCAAGAGTGAAAGATCATAAACATGTCTAAATTTTAAAAAATCAGTCTGATATCTTTGTGTTTAGTTGTAATATTAATCCATTCATGCTTAATTTGATTATTTTTTATTAGTATTGTGTATACACAGACACCTCCCCTCACCCCGTATTAAGGAGATACCATATAGGCCAGTTTATTTTGACATACTGGTCTCAAAATTATTTTCTGATTAATAAAATATTTATTTTATTCTATTATAGCTACCTCTATTACATTTTTAGTTATGCATTGTTTTACTATTTTTAATGCTTGTCATTAAACTATGAGGCATCCATTAATTACTGCAGTTTGATGAAAAGGATAAGTTTTACCACTTCCTCAATAATGCTTAGAACATTTTAACTCCATTTTGCTATATCCCGTTTTTGTTTAATTATTGTCATACATTTTAAATTTATATCTTAAAAGCCATTTGAATATTATTGTTTTGTATTCATTTATATGTATCCACATGTTTACACTTTGTGTTGTGCTTCTTTGTTTTCTGCATTTCCATGTTTTAATGTGGAATCATTTATCTTCTGTCTGAAAAACTCCCTATCCTGTTGATTCAGGTCTGCTGTTGCTGAATTATTGTTAAGTTTCGTTTGTATGACAATGTCATTATTTTGCAATTTTTGAATGATTTTCTTAGATATAGACTTTTTAGGTAATTACTTCCAGCCCTTTAATGGTGTCTTCCCACTTTTTTTTTTTTTTTTGGCTTTTATTTCCATTGAGAAGTAAATTATTGGGTATAATTTTCTTCTTTGAAAGAAATTGACTTTTGTTTTTGGTCTTTTTTCTTTGTCTTTGATATATTTTATTTTTAATACATTTGCCTGATGTTTACAGACACTTTAAGTCTCTGGATTGATATCTTTTATCAGTTTGGAAGAATTCTTGACTGTTACCTCATACTTTTTTTGTCCTATCCTTTGTTACTGTCTTTCTGTATATGTTAGACCTACACAGCATGCCCCAAACATGTCTTAGAATGACTCTGTATTAAGCCTTCTTTTTCCTCTTCATGCTTTGGTTTAGATATTTTCTACAGGGTTAGCTTTCAATTTACTAATCTTTTATTCAACTGTGTTTCAACTGCTGTTTAGTCACTCTATTGAATTTTAATCTCAGATATTCTATTTTTTAGTTCTAGCATTATTTATTAATGGGTTCAATTCTCAGGTAAAATTCTCCATGTTTTTAACAAGTCTTTTAATCTATTTTCCCTTTGTTTTGTTGAACACAGATTAATCATAGTTATTTAAAAATTCTATTTATTTATATATATATATATATATATATATATATATATATATATATATATATATATATATTTAGATACCAGGATTGAACCCAGAGGTGCTTAATTACTGAGCCACATCCCAAACACTTTTTATTTTATGTTTTTTATTTTGAGACAGGGTCTCCTTGCTTAGTGTCTTGCTAAGTTGCTGAGATTGGCTTTGATCTTGTGATCCTCCTGCCTCAGGCTCCCAAACTGCTGGGATTATAGGCATGTGCCTCCACGCCTGAGCAATCATAGTTATTTTAAAGTCCTTGTTTAGTATTATATCTGTGTCACCTTATTGGTTTATTGTTGTATTCTGTTAATTGTTTTCTGTTGATATTTAACCATACATTATAACTTTTGGAAAGCCCTGTACTTTTTAATATAATGACATGTATTATGTATAAAACATAGTCCAGATTCTAAATTGTGTTTTTATCTACTCAATAGGCTTCATGCTTTCCTCTGTAAGGCATATAAGGGTGAGAGATCAGCTTAATACAATCATGTGTAGTACTGATTACATTTTTGCCAGTGCTTTGTTTACCTCTGGTTGTTTCATTTTCTTAAGTATAATCCCTCTGGGACCTCCAAGGTGAACCTGATGTATTTAGGGTCCTTCTTTCTGGCAGGTCCTGAACTACATCTTGGATGCTTTTGTGTTTCAGTATTTTGGCTTACATTTTTAACTTTTCCCTGCTTTTACCTCTCACAGATATTCTGATGAGAAAACAGACCAGGTGTTTTTAGGTACTTCAAGTCTGCAATTTTGTCATTTTGTCCCAATAAAAGACAATAAGATAATTTCTCAGTTCCTTAGCAGCAGCAGCCTTGCTCTAGGCCTAAGCCCGGATTCCTATTGTATTATCTAGTCTATTATCAGCACATGCTCCAGTGAGAAAGCACCTGCTGATTGACAGTTCACCACTCAGAGGCTCTACCCTTTTCAGAATTTTAGCCCTCTGATCTGTGTTACTTCTATTACTCTATGAGGCCTTTCAAAATAAGACTTTGTTATATTTTATCTGGATTAATTGTAAATTGTTCATGGTTGGAAATGTGGTGTGCTACAAACTACTTATTCCCTTTAAAGTCAAAATCATCCAAAGAGGAATTCACTTATTATTATTTAAGCTTGGATACTTCTACTCCTTAAATAGTAAAAATTGCAGAATGCTTTAGAAATTTCTTATAGCATAACTTCTAGTACCACATACATGACATTGATAATACATTGATAAAAAAAATTATTTTTCAATTGAAAAAATTTAAAAGCTACACAATAATGATATTAGCTTATATATTCTTTATTTGAAGGCGTTTGCATTTTTAAAAAATGTGACTGTGATTGTTCTGTTTTCTTTTGAGTGACTACATAGAAATACCATGAAAAAACGAGTGGAAAAGTTACATTTTGGCATTTACGCTAAAGAACTGATAGTGTCACAGATACAGTATATGGGGATGGACTTTTTCCCCCACTGAATTAATGTTAAAAATGTGAAAAGTGGAAGAGAGAAACCTCTAACTATTTTCTACTATGTGTCAAAATCTGAAATATTAAAGATGAATAAAAAGTATGAATACACAAAAACATTGTGAATATACAAAAACAAATATGAGAATGGAAAATAAATCCTATCCCTTTTGTATAAACAAATAGTGTTATTACTATTATACAGTTTAAATTATTAAATGAATGCAAATGAATAAATTATGATAAGTCAGAGAAAGTATAATATCACAAAGGTTAATTAATTGCTAATTAAAGTTTTAGATTACCAGCTTCCTCTAGCCTATTAATTTATATCTTCAATGCATATTAGGGATTATGATATTTAAGAGCATTGATTACTTTGCATAGGAAATGTATTAATACATTACCACATAATTTAGTTATAGCTAATACATTTTATTTTATGCATTAATAATAAATCATTAGCAGATAATACTACATAAATGTATAAATACATTATACTCATATATTATTGAGATTAAAACCCTCTGGTTGTAAAATGGAACAAGAATTGATGTCTGAATTAGATATCAGAATATATCTAGAAATTCACCCCTAATATTTTTAAATAATGTATACAGATCCATCATACTTACCTACAAGTTCATATAATCAACTGTTTCCATTGTAATATTTCACTGAATTAAATCTTTTTAAATTCTATGTCCTATTTAAAATTATAGTTTTTTATGAGTACATGTCTATTTCTATTTAGTGACAAAGCATTATTGATGATCTTCATTGCAAACAATTTTTAGAGTGCTACATATATTGATAAAAATAAATGGTATACTAGTTTTAACCACTTCTTTCAACATGCCTTTTTGAATTCATAGGTTTGTGGACTTTTTGATGCATTACCTAACTTGACTAGCCAATATGCTGCCTTCTTATCAAGAACAGAAAGAATTACTAAAGTATTAGATACGGTAAGCAGACTTTTATAATTAAACTTATTTGTAATCTAGGAAACAAGGAGGAGACTGCATAACATAAATATTATATTATTAATTGATAGATGTACCTGAACACCTGTTGTGAAATCTTTGCTAACTGATAATTCCATATTTTTAAAGTTGAACAAAATTATTGAAACTCAGAGTAAATTGTTTTTCTATGAGGGAATCACTTGTAGTTGAGGTCTTACCAGAAATTTTATTCATAGAATAGATGTGAAAGTTAAACTTAAGTGTGTTGAATATGGAATAGAAAGTTTTGCTTTAGGTTCTACTCAGTTTACCCATAGTGTAATTTATTTCCCTCTTCAATTTAAATTCATCTTGAACCCTAAACCTCTTCAGTTATTTTTCACTCCTGTTAACTACATTATAAACTCTGTTTATGTGATTTTTTAAACTGAAGTATCATTATTTTACAAATAGTTAAAATTGAGTAGATTGAAAATTATAAAGCAGACTAAATTTAAAAATGAATAGTGACTATTTCAGATTGAATTTGCAAGAAGATCAAGGTAAAATTTACAGTTAAAAAGTTATATCCACAGATAATGCTACTATAGTTTGAATGTTTATCTCATTATCCCTAATTCATATGTTGAAATTAATACCCAAGGTGATAGTATTAGGAGGTAAGACCTTCTGGGAAGTAATTAGATCATGAGGACAGATCTCTTTCAAATAGGATTAGTGGCCTTATGAAATAGGCCCAAGGGAGCTGCTCCCTGTGAGGTCATAGGGAAAAGGAAGGAGACACTGAATCTGCTTGTTCTTTGATCTTAAACTTTCCAGCCTCCAGAACTATGAGAAATAAATTTTTGTCATTAATAAGCTACCTAGTTTATGTTATTTCATTATAGTGGCCGAAACAAATTAAGACAAATGTCACAGTTTAGTCCTGTGTTTATAAAGTACAAGACTATCTTTACAAGATATTATTAATAACAAATGATCAAGACAGGATCATTAAACAGAGTTTAAAATGCAGCTAAACATCTATATCAGAGCATTGCTTAGTAAAATAAATACTGCGAAATGAGACAATGCCAAGAATTTATTTATAATGTTTTTAATAGTAAAATCAGCAGTATGAAATCAGGGTGCACTGATTTAAGAAAATGATAAATGCACTGCTAATTAATATAACTATATGAAATGTAAGGGATTAGATTAATTTAGTGAGGCATTCAGGAATGGATTTGTTTTTTTTCTGAGGCACTAACTGAATTTGAGATAGGGTCAAAATTAGTATCAGGTTCTATGAGTTTTTTTTTTTTTGCTTTGTTTATTTTGTAGCTCTTAATTCAAAAGACAGATTAAAATCATCTAGCAGTCTTTCTTTCCTTCCTTCCTTCCTTTCTTCCTTCCTTCCTTTCTCCTTCCTTCCTTCCTCCCTCCCTCCCTCCCTCCCTTCCTTCCTTCCTTCCTTCCTTCCTTCCTTCCTTCCTTCCTTCCTTCCTTCCTTTCCTCGGGATTGAATCCAGGGGCACTTAACTGAGCCACATCCCCAGTCCTTTTTTTGTTTTTTAATTTTAGCCTGGTGCAGTGGTACATGCCTTTAATTTCAGTGGCTTGGGTTGAGAAAGGAGGATCACAAGTTCAAAGCCAACCTCAGCAAAGGCAAGGCACTAAGCAACTCAGGGAAACCTTGTCTCTACATAAAAATACAAAATAGGGCTGGGACCAGTGGCTGAGTGCCTCTGAGTTCAATCCCCAGCATCCACCCCTAAATAAAAATAAAATAAATTTTTATTTAGAGATAGGGTCTTGCTATGTTGCTTAGGGCCTTCTAAATTGCTAAGGCTGGCTTTGTATTTGTGATCCTCCTACTTAGCCTCTCCAGCTGCTGGATTACAGGCATGTGCCACTGCTCTTGGCATCTAGCAATATTCTTAACATATAATATTGTTAAATAAGTGTGTTATTTCAGTAAATTATTTCTTCATGCCAGGGAATTTTGGATTTGGTTGTATGTCTGATTTACATATCTCAGGGTCTGTGACATAAATCATTAAGTGTTTTAATACTAATAAAATTATTTTAAATTTATGAATATTTAGATTACAAAGTCTTTTTTTAAAGAAAGAGAGAGAGAAATTTTTTTTAATATTTATTTTTTAGTTTCAGTGGACACAACATCTTTATTTTATTTGTATGTGGTGCTGAGGATCAAACCCAGCACCCTGGGCATGCCAGGCAAGTGCGCTACCGCATGAGCCAAATCCCCAGCCCTTAAAGTCATTTTTATCATAAAATTATGGGTACTAGGAAAGAAAAATGGAAATCTCTGATGGCATCTAGAGGAGTACATATGTATATTATACTTTATGTTTATAGTAGAAAAAGATAGTATAGATTTATTAAAAGGAAGAGTTGTTCCACCAATTTCTTTGACCTAATTTAAATTTTTTATCTTGCAACTTAATCTGTCTTTGGATATGCAATCTACTTTTTGGTGATCTCTCTCTTTTCACAAAAACATTTGCAATTAAAACTACTGGGTAGGAATCTGATTTCCCAAGAAGCAAAATAGTTTAATCATATAGAAAACCTGGATTTTTGAATCCCTTCTGCAAATGAAAATGCTATTTGAGCAGGTAAGTGCATATGTAGATGATGAAAAATCCAAATGATGACCTCAAAACAAAATTGAAATAATTTTTCAAATAATGGAATTTTATAAGTTTCATTTAACATGAAACTACTAGAAAATTTATGTCCTAGATATTTTAGGTATTCCATATATGTGGATATGTATACTGCAACCTTAAAGGAGGTTATACTATTCAAATTATTAAGTTGTTTTTTTTATATAAAAACATAAAAATCTCTTTGACCTCTGGTTTAATATGAGCCAATTGTTATACCCCTCTTCCTTTTTAAGGTCCCAATATAATATTTTTTATTTCAAATAAACTAAAACATAAGCATTATGTGAATAAAAATTGAAAATATAAGAAATGGAGGATGGATACAAAACAATTATCTATTTATTATGTGCTCTAGAAGCAGAATGTTGAGAAAATCATTGAGAGTATAGGATATAAAAACCAATCATCCTAAGTTGAGCAAAGACATTAGTTTGATTTGAGGAGCTCCACAAAATACCAAGGAGAATGAATTTTAAGAGTTATACATTTTTTTCACATTCTTTTACATTTCTAGAAGACCATAAATAAGGAGAATATTCTTGAAGCTTCCACAGAGAAATGTAAATAGGTATCCTACAAATGGAGGACAAATATAAATAATATCAGCCACTTGCTTAGCAGCATTACCAATAGTTAAGAGCTAGGAGGTAATGGAATAATATTTTGTCAAATTTCTCAGAGGAAATAATTTTTGATGTAGAATTCTGTCTGTGTCCCAAGATGAATCAAGAAATTTCTGGCATGCAAGAGCTCAGAATGTTTCATAAGCTTACATCCCCATGTAAAGAATTGCTTTAGCAAAGTAAATAAATACAAATAAAAAGAGGACACTGAAGAATGCTGACATAAATACAGAGAATAGAAACTTAGTATTTCCTGTTTGAAATAACAAAAAGTAAAAAAAAAATTAATAAGGAATGTATTTCAGCTCATGCTTGAAATATTCAAGAGGCAGGGATTTGGTAACAGAATATCATTTATTTTTATCTGTGTTTGGTTATATTATGTGGTTATATAGTGAATAATAATGATAATTTAAATCTCTTTTATAATTTAAACAACATAAAATAATCTTGTTTATAATTAAAACAACATATAAAAATCCCAAGAGCTCTTATTATAAGAAAGACTTTAATTATTAATAATAATAAAAAATAAAATCAAGAGGTTAAGAGGTGGTATGTGTGCCAAATTTCACATTTCATAGTTAACAGATATAAATAAAACCCTGAAAGATCAGTATTACTCCTTATATTAAATTTGTGATGGTAAATACAACAAACACACAGAAAGAAAGGTGGGACATGTCTGTAATCTCGGCTATTCAGGAGGCTAAGGCAGGAGGATTGCAAGTTGGATCCACCCTGAGCAACTTAGTAAGACCTTGTCTCAAAATTAAAACAAGCAAACAAACAAAATAGGCTGGGGATGTGGTTCAGTGTTAGAACACTTGCCTAGTATGCATGGAAGCCCTGGGTTTGATCTCTGATACTGAAAAAGAAAAAGAAACAAAAAGATTCTGTCATTTGTTTAAAGGAATTATTTTCTAGAATGGAACCAGGGAAAGGTTAAAGGTAGATAATTGTTCTGTTTATTTTAAAACACTGAATATGATTTGATTTTTATTTGTGAAATGAAGATATTTTAAAAGAAAAGTAAAAAACAGTACTTAAATGATTTAATATGATAAACCTATGCTTGTACTGACCAACTCTCTGAAAATAATAAAAATTTCAGATAAAATAAAACAAATTTTTTAAAAAACATATTCATGAATATTTTTGAGTATAGATTTCCACAGTATACAGACTAAAGGCTAAAGGAGGGAGAGTTCTATTGGAGTGGCAAGTAGAATGCTGAAGCGAGCTTTCTCCTTAAGGGTGTTTGCCAACCATTTGAGTTTGAGTTAATTTTTATACCTTCAGAAACCTCCTGGGGGTGAGATAAAGCCTAAGACTTTCTCACAGTAGGTAGTCCTAAAGAAAAAAATGTTAAAACTAAAGAAAAAAATGTTAAAACTCTAATGGACAAACTACACAGATTAAGAGTAAAATGCAAAAAAAAAAAAAAAAAAAAAAATTACCTTCCCTATATCACCAGAGGATTTAATGGAATATTGCCTGTGAATTTTGGTTTTGAACCTGTGAGAAAGAAATTACCCCTGAGTATATGTCATATTTCACCTTCATTTAATGAGATGAATTATTAGAAACCACAAAACACTTCTATAGACATTAATGAAATTAATTTTATTAATATACATAAGAGCCAGTGCTTTTATAGTGCTTATTCTATGCCAGGTACTATTTCAAATGCATATTA